ATGTATGTATATATATATATATATATATATGTATGTATATATATATATATGTATATATATATGTATGTATATATATATATGTATGTATGTATATATATATCATGTATGTGGGGCAGTAGGGGTTACTTCAGTTGCATCTCTGTCATTATATTGGACAAGATTGTGATCTTGCCTTTTCCTTCAAGTTGATCTAGCACTTCAAATTCTTTAGCCATAGGAAATCACTCCTTTTTTAATGGCAGCTAGCTTCACCCTCTAGTCAGAAGGAACATCCTTGCACTCAATTACCAATTACACTGTCTAAAGCCCCACATTGAATTTTTCTCTATCCATATGACCATAAAAAAAATCAACCTTCACTTCATAGTCACCCGCGCTTCTTTTATACTCCAAGTCGAACAGACATAGCATTAATTTTAACTATTCATCGTCTGAGGCATAATGGTGAAAAAGATTTTAAGTGGGTGATTTTCCCATGTTACCTGCTTTTAAAATTAACAAGTTTTCGTTGTGATTGAAAGATTTTTTCTTACACATCTTCCATGATAAGCTCCTAAACACCTTTCAGAGTTTCTCTTTGGCAGCATGAAAACTTGCTCCTTGCCTTAGGATTTCAATTAGAGTAGGACTGTTGAGCTAAAAGCTGGTCGAGGGTGGGTTTAGAGTTAGGTGTGGGTGTAGGGACAAATTTTAGTGGAGTCAGAAACATTATATTTTGAAGATTTAGGGCCAGGGTGAGAAATCAATATTAGGATTTGGTTTTGATACCAAATGACACCATTCTATAATCCTTAGATGATGTAATAGGATCAATATGAGTATTCGGTTGGTGTAGGATGAAGGAAGTAAAGAATGTTGATTCAACAAAGCCATAAAGGAAAAATAGGCAGCAACTGCTGTGTAATGTACAGGATGGCAAGAAATCCGTGTTCGGCGATGAGCAGCAAATCAGTACAAACATCAGGAAGATCCACCACCTGTGTTCTAACAAGAGATAGACACATCACTTGTAAACACACATTTACAACAGAACAAAGAAGAAAAATCTGTGAAGAAATCTCAACCTAGCATAAATCAAAACCAGAAAACTATTCCAACCAGTCCAAAACAAACAAATATATAATTCTCCAAGCAATTGGCCTTAATAATAGTGCTAATTAAGGTAGCTGAGATTATAAGGGGTGGAAACTGTGGACCAGACCATAGAAAAAAGAACTGGAAACTGTTTACCAGATCATAGAAAAAAGAACTGTATCCCGTTTGCTGTTTTAAGAGTTTGCCCAATATAGACGGGAAACCCTTCCCGCATCGTAAAAGGGAAAACAACTCCAGCATCATGGAGTCATTAGACGATTTTGCAAAAGCCATGCATAAAATTTTAGCATCCTAGTTGAGGATCTACTTGGCATACAAAGTTGCATGACTAGAACAACTAATGTGCAACAGCTTTGAGCGGGACTTGGACATTGAGACCAACTTTGAGGTCAATCTATTTTTCTTTCTTCTTGAGAATACTCAGAAGAAATCTTATTATAAGCAGCAGCCTTCGGCTTTAAGAAAAATAAATATCTACTTCGGTTCTGAAAAAGGGTTTCTAATACTGTTGAATATTTCCATGAAAGTTTATATCGGAGTAAAGGGAAATGCCTCATTTGGTAACCTCTTCCCTTTCTTTAAATGTTTTTATTATTTGCATATGTGATTGACTTTATTCAAATAGAACATAATATGGGTTTCAACAAATAGATAAATTTCCACTCTTAAATAGTATTCTTGATTTTGAATTTCCATACTTTTTCTTTTTAATACTAGAAGACTAATGGATCAGTATCAAAATTGAATCTCTTCATACTTTCAATTGCCATCAAAAGTAACGAATGTTTAAAATAGAGAATTCACAAATTGTAACGTTTCATGTGCTAGTTTCATAATTTCTGTGTTGCATAGTAGACCTTTATTAAAATTTCAAGAAATTAAGACATCTTTCATCAACACATTGCATAGAACAACTGCACTGTGAACATCAGCCCAGATCCCCCTAGCTATCAGTTAAAGACAACCAGCTGCTTGCCGTGAACATGGACGCGAGGGTATTTTATTTCAGATTAAAATGAGATTTACTAGATTTTAAAAAATGCCACAGTTAAAAAACGGAATGCACAATAAAGTCAACTGACCCAATGAAAAGCACAGGAAAGTAGTGGTCTTTCATCACTAATAGAATAAATTACAGCACTATTCTGAAGTTTGTAAACATACGAAGGACATGACGCCGCCCATCTTTTGCTTGAAAAAGTGCTTTTTCCAACACTGGTAAAGTGATTCCTGCAGTCTGCAAAAGTTCAACTGGAAGATAAACAGCAATAATATAAAAAAAATCCCAAAGGTACGCAGACTTCCTACTTATTATGAAAAGAAGCATCAACTTAAATGAAAATAATTTTTATTTAAAAACAATCAACTACAACCGGTATAAAGTGAAACTTTAACCTTTATGTCCATCTGGAAAGCAGTAATTCCGTTCTCATTACCAGCAACCTGAATAGCCACATTACGAAACATATAAGATGAGGAGTTTTTGAGAAAGATTTCTATTCTTATATAATAAAAAATTACATCTTACTACGTAATAAAGTGGCTGGCATAGCCAGTCCACAAATTAGGAAACTAGAATTCCTTTAAATTAGGAATCCCACAAAATTAGAAAATCAGAAAAATAGAAAATATATAATAAGCAAAACAAATAAATATTTAGAGATCTTTTGAGTCAAGTAAATATAATACTTTCTAATAGAATATGTAAGTCGTTTACTTCCAACATAAGATAACAGCTTAAGAGCATTCAAAAAAATCTCACACGTAACTACATTAATCATATATCTCAATAAACATAAGCGCGATAAACAATTACAACCATTAGACCTTGAGATCCATGTCACCAGATGCATCTTCAGATCCACTAATATCAGAAAGTATCAATGGTGTTCCATCTCCACCAAATTCTTCAGTCTCTAAGACTAAACCCATTGCTATTCCAGCAACAGAGGATTTAAGAGGAACTCCAGCATCTAAAAGCGCTAGGCAACCTCCACAAACAGATGCCATGCTGGTGAATAAATTGAAATGGTCAGTCTTTAGAAAAGCAAAGTCATGGCAGCAGCACCATGCAAAAGAGATAGAGAACAGAGCCAAGCAAACATGATTAATTAAACAATAAATCACTCCAACATACGAGGAGGGATTAATAAAAGGAAGATAAAATTACCTGGAGGAACCATTACTTTCAGTAATGGTACTTTCAACACGAATAGTGTAAGGAAAATCCTCCTCAGAGGGTAAGATAGGTCCCAGCGCTCTCTCAGCAAGCATTCCATGACCAATTTCCCTCCTGTTAGGTGCACCAATTCGCCCAACTTCACCAACAGAAGATGGAGGAAACGAGTACTGCCAAATGAATCATTGAAGTACTGTCAAATTCAACGAAATATAAAATTCAGATAGAAAATCAATTAATAAGCTGAGAAAAAATTTCAATTTAAAAGTTACCATTGACAAAGGTATCATTTTTCCAAAGAACAAGAAACAGTAATAGATATTTCACACAAAATTGACATTTAAAATTTGATATGCTTCATGCTGACCCATAACAAAGCTTTGTTTTGTAGCAAATTTGGAGGGTGAAAATACTAAATCATATCATATATCAGGAATCAAATATGCGTAAGGACAAATCCGAGGGATTGAAGATGCACCTTTTTTGCACTTTTTGCATCTTCAAGAAAACAAAATATGAAATAACAAACAAACGAGCACGCACACGCGCGCGCGCGCACACAATCATAAAATAGTGAAAAATAAAACTTTATAATAAGATTTTGCACAATTGTTTTATGATGATGGAGGGCTTAAATTGGTAAATAAAATAATCAAGTCGGTAAGGAATATTTTATATATTAGTGAATATATAATGATATAAAGTTAAAGTTTAAATAGAAAAGCAAGGGATAAAATTAAATAATAATTTCTCAAAGAAAATCAACGTAAATATTTACCTTATAATTATATATTTACAAGTGTTAAAACTAGGGAGGTAGATGCTAATGACTAAGTATAACATATCAATTCAAAGGTTAAGGTAAGTAATTACTTTTCTACAACAAACAACAAAAACATGCCTTTATCCCACTAAGTGACATCAGCAACATGAAACCCTTTCTCCATTGTATCCTACTGAGTGTCATGGTTTTATTTATTTCTAATAGATTAAGATTATTTTTATACAACAAGCCCAAGTCTTTTTAGGTCACCTTTACTTTTCTTAACATACGCCAAATCTAAAACATCTACTCTCGTAAGTGGGTCATCAGATGGTCGATGTTTAATGTGACCAAACTATCTAAGGCAACTCTCTCTAATCATGTCTGCCATTAGAGCTACTCCAACCCTTTCACGAATATATTCGTTCGCATTTTGTCTCTAAGTGTAAAGCCACTCATCCACTTGAGCATTCTTATCTCAACAACACTTAACTTTTTGCTCCCTTTTATAGGCCAACATTTTTCTCAATAAAGCATTGCAGATCTCACCAACATCTTCTAAAAATTTCTTTTAAGTTTAAGCAGTACTTTTCTATCCCACAATAGGCCCGATGCATTCCTCCACTTCAACCATCAAACTTAAATTCTACTAATAACAACCTCATCTATAACATCATCACTTCAAACAATAAACTCGAGATATTTAAAACGTTCTCCTTTTAATGACTTTTTCATCCATTGTTACAACCCCGCCACAAGATCTACTACTGAAAAAATTACATTCCATGAATTCAGTTTTAGATCTACTCAAATGAAACTCTTTAGACTCTAAAGTTGAGCTCCATAATTTAAGTCTTATCCACAAGAAGGATATCATTAGCAGAAATCATACACCAAGGTATATCCTCTCGTAAATGTCCAGTAAGAATATCCATACAACAACAACAACAAGCCTTTATCCCACTAAGTGGGGTCGGCTGCATGTATCCTTTTTCTTCATTGTGTCCTAATTTCATTTAATTCTAATAGATTAAGACCATTTTTTATCCAATATGCTCAAGTCTTTTAAGGACTACCTTTGTATTTCTTAACACAAGTCGAATCTAAAACATCTACTCTCCTAACCGGATCATTAGATGATAACCGTTTACTGTGACAAAACCATCTTAAGACGACTCTCTCTAATCTTGTCCACCACTGAAGCTAAACAAACCCTATCACGGATATATTCATTTCGCATTTTGTCTCTATGTGTCAAGCCACTCATCCACCTAAGCATTCTCATCTCAGCAACACTTAACTTTGTTTTATGCTTCTCTTTTAAAGGCCAACATTCTGCGCCATAAAGCATTGCAAGTCTCACCACCATCTTATAAAATTATCCTTTCAGTCTAAGTGGTACTTTTCATTCACAAAATAGGCCCAATGCATTCCTCCACTTCAACCAACGAACTTGAATTCTACTAATAACGTCCCCATCAATATAACCATCACTTTGAGTAATAGACCCAAGATATTTAAAAGGTACAAAACCTTTAATGATTTGATCACCCATAGTTACAACTCCGCCACTAGAGCTACTACTAAAATTATATTCCATGTATTCAGTTTTAGATCTACTCAAACGAAGGCCTTTAAACTCCAATGTAGACCTCCATAAATCAATTTTTTCTGGGTTTACAGATTTGACATAATATTACATAATAATGCGAAAATCATACACCAAGGTACATCCTCTTTTAAATGTCCAGTAAGAGCATCCATAATTCAAGCAATAGATATATGTTTAAAGTCGATCTTTGATGTAATCCAACTGAAATAAGAAAATACTTGGTCAATCCTTCTTCTGTTCCAGTAAAAGTAGCAGCTTCAATATACATATCTTTAATGACTTGAATAAAAGTCATATCAACACCTTTCTTCTCTAAAACTCTCCGAAGGACTTCTCTTTTCCTATTTCAATTGACTACCTTGTGCAAGCTTCCACTATTCTCATATGGGGCTTGGGATCCGACAATGACAATGTTCAGGAAGAAAATCCATAACTAAACAAAAATTATATGGGCTTAATGCCAATCCTTGACGTAATCCAATTGAAATAGGAAAGTGCTTGGTCAATCTTACTTGTGTTCATACACAAGTAACAGCTCTAGTAATTACTTCTATATTTATAATAAATTCTTTTATATTTAAAATGCATTCATGTTTTCAAAGATTAAACTATGATAGTATAGGCAAATTAAATGAGTATTTAATGTTTTACAAATATTTCATATGTGGCATTCATGATGAAAGTTTAGCAAATATTTTAATGACTGAATATAATTAATGAAAAAACAAATAAAATAAATGTATACGTCTATCAGAGGAGTCATTCCCTTATGATAATAACTGAGTATATTATTATATACGTGCAAAAAATATTAAACTAAATTAAATTAAATTGAAAAAAAATAGAAGTGAAAAAAAGTTGTACCTTAATTGGTACAATATTTTAAACGGTGTTTCTGAAATGACTTGAATGAAATGAAATTAAAATTGTTAAAAATGTTCTAATTAAATAAAATGCGAATTAAATAAAATTTTAACATCCAATCATCATTTTTCAATAGTATATGTGCCAGAGTATATGCATGGAATTTTAGTATATAGACAAATTATAATTATTCACTAAGTTATTCTAAAATTAATATATTGTTTAACTGCTTATTTCAGGAAAAGCTCCATTAAATTAAATGACTGAAATGAGAGAGTTTGTTTGCAGAAGAAGATGAGCTAGTGACAATAAGTGTTAGAAAAAAAATCATTTTATCGTATATTAAATCTCTTTATTGAAATTGTTACAGCAACTAGATATTTTACTATTTTATTTGGCCGCTGTATTAGATATTTTGTGAATTCATGACCCTTTATCGTTTGGATGGTTGTTAATGGCAAATTGTTGTATATATTAGACTGACGTGACACCATCAATGAATCGCCTGCTCCATCCTTTGATTCTAAGCTCCTGGATCGGAACTTGACATACAGGACTCTAAAAAATGATAGTGAGGTTACCAAAAATGGTAATGGAATACGTGTATTGAGTAGATCCTCCATGTTAAAAAAAAAAAAAGAGAAATCGAGTAGAAGAATTCAACCCACAAAGAAGACATCCCATTAGCAAAATCAACAAATGAATAAATGAGAGAAATAGGGCTTAGTACAAGCACAAGAGACATGATTAATAAAAAATGGTGAAGATGATTAAACGTGAACAAAAATGAAACATAAGATGGCAATGAATGGCCGATGAAAACATCATCTGAACCCATTATGCACACAATACAGGGAAAGTGAGAAGCCAATTGCTAATTCAAAAAATAAAGCATCTAAAAATATCACAAGCTGGTTGTTGGCATTAAAGCCTACTAATATCAAAGATAAAGAACAAGAAGAAACAATCAACAATGAAAGTACGGTTAAAAACTACAACGGAAGGCCGAAGAAACAAACACATGGGGCATTGAAGACACCAATGATCTCGAGAGAGGACAGGCATCATTGGGTCAATGCAGGAAAAAGGCTGGGAGTGAACACACGCAAGCGCAGAAACCTGCTTAAGCTAGTATGTTATGCACGTATTATTGGCAATAATATTTAGTATATAATTAATGCAATTTGAATAAACGAGGTCATAACAAGGTTTAAATTACACAATTTGAGATATGCCCCAACTTAAGGCGCTCAAAAAAATGCAATGAGGCTAATACCTCACATGTAACAACAAAGGAATATGCCTTGAAAGAGGTGGCGTGCCTCTGCATTATCTGAATAGGGAAAAGCATATAATTTTAAGAGATTATTAAAAAGTTTTAATTTTTAATTCCAAAATATCAAATTAAACAAAGTTATTAAAACCTAATCCTATTGTTTAGAAAAATAGAAAAAAAATAATCGAGCTGTTGCGTGTCTCAGGACAAACAAACTACATGCCACAAGAACCTTGAGTCTCAAAAAGCCGTATCACAATCTTGTTGGGCAGCAACTACTACAGCTCCAACTCTGTGCTAGTTGTCAGTAATCCAACTCTGCGGTAGTTGCCAATTTGAGGGTACATTCAGGTATATTTTTTAGGTGTTTTCAGACTCATTTTGAGGGTGCATTCGAGCACATTTTTTAGGATATATTCGGGTATGACGGTAATCCCGTTATGACTTTAAAAAAAAGTTAAAAACGGTAATTACTTAAAGTGGAACGGGAAGGGCTAAAGTAAAAGTTTTAATAAAATTTACTCAATTTTTCTTTTAGTCATTCATTTTTTCTTTTAGTCATTCATGCATAGCATAACATAGAATAAAAAAATTTAATGCATATTAGATTATAGTTACTCGCTAAATTATACTTACAGTTACATTTAATATTTTCTTTCAGAAGAAGAAAAATTTTAGTGGATATGTCTGATTGGGGAGACTTTGTTTACTTGAGAAGGACCATTATTGCTAGGTTCGATACTGACTTAAGATGTTATTTTTGGATGTTTTAAAAATTATTGCACTTTGTGGATTAGTGACTCTTTTATATGTATTGAAAGTTTTAAAAATGTGGATAGTTAGATGTTAACACCGTCTGATCGTTGTTCCCGCCTTAGTTAATTCTAAGCATCGGTTGGATCATGACAATCCAATCTTGATATAAGCCAAGCAAGCTCTTAATTTCAATTCTAGCATGGTTCAAGCCAAAAAACCAACTAAAATTGATTCATCTACAAACTCCAACACATGTTGGGCCTATAGGGAAAATATTTCCTAACCATTAAATATTAACTAATAAAAAAAGGCATCCCAATCTATGTAAGTCCAATAAAAAAAATAACTTATCAATGAATCTGTTGAGGAAGGAAACCATTGAGCCTACAAATAAAAAATACAAGAACTTCACAAATAATATCTCACATTAATGTTTCCAATACGAAAAATTCTCCCATAATGATCAATCATTTCTTACTAGCCTGCATATTATTTCTATTCCTGAAAAAGATTTATAAAGCCTTACATAATATGAATTTAAATAATGCTATGAGGAAAAGGAAAAAGACCTTTAAAAAAAAAAATATTATAAATGAAAAAGCAACCACAAAAAAATAAATGAATGGAACGAGGATATTTTTTACCACAAAATATAAATCTAACAGTTCACAAGAAAGATATAAAACTAAACAAGTGGCCAAAGGCTACATTCAAGCATATGAGATTGATTACAACAACAACAACAACAAAGCCTTAATCCCACTACGCGGGGTCGGCTACATGAATCCTTTTTCTCCATTGCATCCTATTTAGTGTCATATTTTCATTTAGTTCTAGTAAATTAAAATCGTTTTTTATACAATAAGCCCAAGTCTTCCTAGGTCTACCTCTACCTTTCTTAACACAAGTCAAATCTAAAACATCTACTCTCCTAAGCATCTGAGATTGATTAAGTTAAAATATTTACTGAGTTACTAAAATTAAAATTATTAAGTTTTCTTACCTTTAGTAGCTAAAAAAAATTGAAAATATACAAGAACTTTATATGAAAAAAATTTTACATGATGATCTGTATTAAAGGCCCCACTATAGTTTCACTATAATTTGGCTCAGAGACGAAAAAAAAAAAACTATGCAAGGTTAAAACGATAATGTAAGGGTTGGAACAATCTCTATAGGTTCAAGGAGATATGCTTAATATGTTACAAACAAAGTCAACAAGATCAAACATTATTTGTGAAAGAAAGGACTTCAGAGAGGATCTCAAGACTACTAGTTTATACTGGTAAGATTATCATGAAAGGTTATGACTTATAAGGAATGAGGAATTGAAGAAAAAAAAGCAGATATAATTTCAAGTTAAGGAATTAGACAAGCTAAAGTACTTTGTTTTCATTAAGAGGGTGTTTGGCTGAAAGTCAGATATAAGTTAAATCGGATTTAGAAAATTCGATAAATCCAGATTTATGAATCTAAAAATTATTAAATCTGAAATAATGTTTGGTTCGATTAATATTAAAACCAGTTAAATTCATTTGATGTGTTTGGCATAAATTTATTTGAAAATATTTTTTTCCCAAACTAAATCCGTTAAATCCAAATAATAAGTGGGTTTACTAAATCTGGATTTAATAAATGGAACAAGTAAAAATTAGATTTAACTTAACGGTGGATTTATCTAACCTCTTTATGATGTTTGGTGGATTTATCTAACCTCTTTATGATGTTTGGTGGATTTACGTTAAATCCTCACTTAAATCCCATTAAAATTGTCCTACCAAACACCCCCTAAAGTTGTCAACTCTAGACATGAAGTCTTCATATCATCAAAGGATAAGTAGCAAACCTATAAAATAAACAGGTAAGTTGGGATAGAAATTTATCGAGAGCCCTACAAAATTTAATCACAAACTTAGAAATGATTTAAAAGATAACAAAAACAAAAATCTCCTATACAAGACTAATGGGAAGACTTATCTACTTATCATATACTAAATTTGACACCACTCAAGCCATTAGGTTAATGACTTAATTCACACACAATTCTATAAAATCAATCTTAAGAATAAGATATATAAATCTACAATAATTGAAGAGAAACCTGAGTAAAAATGATTTTATTCAATAAATTAATAAATAAATAAAGGATACAACACTTGAAGCATATACTAAAATACAGATTAAGTAGGTTCTATGATTGATAGGAGGTTAATTTTAGGATATTACACATTCTTAAAATCAATATAATAACAATTTCACCAAAAGATTTTCGGGGCAATCCTAAAAAAAATATCAGGTAAACTCAGAATGAAAGACATCAAATTCATTCAATTGAAGGGGAGTGAAACATCTACATAATTTCCTCCAGTGGAGACCCACACTCACCAAGGCTTCCACGCACTTTTCTTCTCATGTTGTCACCTTATTGATATATGGGGATCCCCATACCCTTCTTATCATCATAGAATATCATAATTATTTTGTGTTTACTTTTCTCAAGTTTTGCATGCTTTCTATTTGAAACTCTTCTAAGATTATATAAACATTACACAATTGTTGGCATAAAGTATTCAACCAATTCTCTCAAATTCTTAGCATTACTCACATATATGAATTCCCCTCAGTCCAAAGCATTTAAAGAAGAACAAATTAAGCCCAAAGATAAAAAGATTTGCAAGTAATCGCCTAAGTATAAAATTCAAGAAGAATTAGCTACCATAAACCTAATGCAATAAATGAAGGAAACAATAATCAAAATTTGTAGCAAGCATGTTGCCCCTCTTAACAGGCTTCCACATTTTCCTCTTAACTTCTTGTTATCCAATAATGCACGAATCTGCTAAACACAACATCACAAAATCTAGAAGTGGAATGATTGGATGCATTCGTCAAACAATATTAAAAACCTTCAATGAAGGGCATTCGAGACGATGTAATAATCCAGAACAACTTACTAATCATGCAACAAAACTTGCTGCCTCAGGCTATGATAGTAATGAAAATGAAGTCACCGTATAGCACATAAGAGACGTCATTACCATCATCATTATTATTAGCCTCATCCAAACAATGCAGCCAATCATATAAACAAGCAAATAAGATAATCCTAATAACCACCTATTTAGAACTTAATCCAAACCTAAATTATGCCTTATTTACTTCGTGAGTCATGTGAAGCAAAAGGACTAAATTAAATATAAATTAAAAGCTTGTAGCATGTTCACGTGAAGCAAAAGGACTAAATTAACTCTAAGTTAAAAGCTTGTAGCATGGCCATCCAATTGTGAGAAAATGACAAACAACCCTCAAAAATATGTTGAAAATAACAAGAACATAGCATTTAATGATAATACTAGAAATAAAAGTTAAAATTCTTGTAGCATGGCCGATTTGCTGACACATCCAATTGTGAGAAAATGACAAACAACCCTCAAAAATATGTTGAAAATAACAAGAACATAGCATTTAATGATAATACTAGAAATAAAAGTTAAAATTCTCATTGCCACAAACAATCAAATACAAAGGAATTGAACATTAAAAGCAAATTCCGAATAAGATCACCATGTACAATTATGAAAACTGGAAAGACGATTATGAAACAAACCTGAAGATAAAACCTCTTTGCATCCTCTGTGTCAACAAGATTATCAATCCTTTGTGCCATTTGCTTGTCTCCAAGAGTAACAACTGCAAGAGACTAAAATAACAAGCATACACCTCAGAATCAACATGATGTTTCATAAATTTGGAAATATGTGAGCAACTGTAGAATAATCATAAAAAATAATACTTTATAATTTGACAAATAGGCTACCAGCAATTCTAGCCAGCTATTAAATAATATGCAGCCTACAAAATCATGAGCTACTTTCAAGAAGAATCCATTGTAATTGTTGAATCATAATAATATGATATAATTAAGCAAGGACAACTTGCTCAATCTTAAAAACCTTCCAGTTCTTCCCTACAACAGTATGACCCAAAAAATTAAGAACTGGCCTAACAAAACCAATTATCAATTCTTCTGGCTTAAAATTTTTAATTGGCCAGACCTGTCCCCACACACTGATCTTCATGGGGTGATTTGGGCACCACATATCTAACAAGACAACTTGAACTTCAAATCAACAAAATGAAGTCATTCATGTTGACTAAAAATTTCAACAAGAGAATGTCCGATTTTCAAATACCTGAACTCCAAAGCAAACTATTTCAAGCTTGAACCCTAAAAAAAAAAAAAAACCCAAGAAATTATAACATATAAAAAAAATTCCAAAGAAATCCATCCACCGACCAAATTAATTTGATGAAGATAATAAATTTATGATAGCATAAGCTCACAAAATTAAATGTCATCTTAAAAGTATCTTTATAATTAATCTAAAAAATCTCAAGCTAGAAAAAATAATACATGCAATCTGAAGAATAATTTCGTTTAAATATGGCATAACAAAAGTACGGCTACGACCAAGGCCCTTGACTTAAGTGGTTAGCCACAAAATAAGGTCATTGAATTATAGTCACGGCCAAAACCGGAAAGTGTCAATGGCTCAACCTTAAGTTATAAATCATGATATCACCTGACATACCAACAAGCCGTCTATAAATTAAGTTTGGTTTGAAATTGTTCTCTTAAATAAACATTTACCCAAGTTTATAGTGCCCCCTTAAACATCACAATCATTGATATCAACAAGAGTCATTAAGTAAATTCAAAAAGAATTAATCAATGAAGTTGGGTCAACTACCACATATTATACAGTAGATCAGACTCTATGATAACTTAGGACTACAAAATCATAAAATATAGATCAGTTTGTAGTTTGTCGTCCCACCATCGGCTCTAAACTAAATATCTTACATTTTCCCAATTTAAAATCAAAATCCCTGTACTATATGCTAAACATTCGACAACAATAAATTAACCTTAAGCAACAATTTTCTCTCATCACATAAGAGTAATTCATAATAATTTATGTTAGGGCCAGTCGGGTCATGGATTTAGATCAAAATTTAACATGGATTTAAGCTAAATCTTGCGAGACAATCAGTTTAAACAAAATAAAGTTGTTGATATGATAAATCTGAAGTTCATGAATTTCAGCCGTAAATCTAGGATTGCTAAATCCTACTGTTCGTTGGATTTAGTAAATACGGAAAGGGCGAATAGAAAGAATGGAGTGAAAAGGCTCGCCTTGCTCAATGGTTTCGGGGAGGGGCGAAGCAGAAGAAGATAGATAAGACTTTTGGTGGTTTTTGTATGCAAAAATCCAGGGATTGCCTTCTTAGCTAGCCCTAATCGCAACTGCATTGTGAGCGTTCGGTCATGAATGCAATGGTTTTGGGCGAAACCGAGGGGAGGGACATGGGTGGGGGTTTCGAGTAGAGCATAAGAGATTGAGAGAAAGAGACTGATGTACACGAGAGTTTCGATTAGAGAGGAAAGGGATAAGACAGTTTGTGGTATTAATATAATTTTATTTAAGTTAATTTTAATAATTTAATTGATTAGTACTCAATAATTAATTATTATATTATTAGATTAATTAATCAGATAAATTTATACATAATCATTCAATAATTAATTAATAAAAATAAAATTAATTTTTCATTTATTTAATAAATTTATAAGTACTGATTAATATAATTAATAACTACTTAATTATTAAATTATAAACGTTAAACTATTATAATGAAATTCTTATTAATAACTAGTTACTTTAGTGAATATATAGTTATTAATTAGCATAATTAAAAATAAATTTTAGTTAAATTATATTATTAATTTTTATCATAGTAAAAAATAATCAAAATTTATTTATGATTTTTTATTCTAACAAACAAAACAGACTTATAAATCCTGACAAAAGTTCTCAAATAGATTGATATGATTTAACTGAATTTACTAAATCTCTTATCGAATATTTTTTTTAGATTTGATCCTTTCAAAATTTACTAAATTCGGATTTATAAGATTTATTAAATTCTACTAAATTAAATTTCATCCATTGTCAGATAGCCCTTTATGAAAAAACTTTAATGAAATCATTAAGTCTTCACAAAATGAGAGCAAAATCTCTAAATGGTGTCTTATTTAAAAATGTTGGTCTTATTTTGAGTAAGAAACATAACTTTTGAACAAAATATCACCTATAGAAAATACGCAAAAGATGAAAATGGTTGCTCTATGCTCCAAGTGGCTAGCTGACTCGGGAGCTTACCGCACGCAGTACGAGGTATTGTAGCTATTACAGTAATCGCGACCCCCCTTTCCTATTTAATTCATTTCATCTCCTTTCCTTTCCTGATGCTGTTCCATTACAATTCCTTCCTTTTTCTACTTTTTTCCTAAACCTCTCCTTGCCTATAATATATCTTTCCTATCATACTATTTATCTATTTTATCTACTAATCCCCTCTTTATATAGGTGTTATTTTCTGAGGTAAGAGGAGATTTTTGGATGATTTGTTAAATTCAGCTATTGGCTCTGAGGTGTTCATCCCCTTCCAGAAGTTGTATCTGAAGGCGAGAAGGTGCTCTAGCTATAATTCGTCCGAGTGGTGACCGTCTCCAAGCATCCAAGTGATGCTTCAGCTATAGCTCGACCCTGACGAGACATTTATTTTTCCACACCCCCTTCTCCCACGCAGCTCGGTAGTCCTCAGCTTGTTGCCTTCCCTCTGACTCACCTTCAACAAGCCGTCAACCCTTCTTTATGTCCGCTTGTTGCTGCTGACAGGCCAGGATAGCAAAAAGGCTACTGTCAAATCGCCTTCCAGACCTAATACAAATCCCACTACCTGTTCCTTGTTGCAAGCCGCAAACCCCACTGTACCACCAACACTCCACCCTCTTCTACTATCCTAATTATAACCCTCCCTTCCTTTCTACCACCCAATCATCTCCTTCTCCCTAGCCCTAAATTGGTCTATGTGTAGTTGTATCTTTGTTATTATTTCGTTTTGTCGTATGTGTCATTGTAACCCTATAGAAATTCAACAATAATATTATTCGCATTTTATTTGTGGTTTGGGTTTTTCTCCGATATCATTTAGTATCAGAGCTAACCCAACTCTATTTCTATCATAGGCAAACCTAACTTCATTTCTATCCTAGGGTTCCCTAGCATCCGCCCCCACTCTAGCCACCTCCTACCAAAATTCTGTTGCCTTAAAAGTTTCGATGGATGAAGTTGAAGCTCCCCAACCCCGAGAGATTGACGTAGGAACTTACCGCTGTTGACCTCATTGTGAGATCTTGTTTCTCTCCCCTCCTAGAGCCTAGAATCTAGCCTTAGGTTTCCCCAGTTTGACCTCTTAGAGGACTAGTGATGGAACCCACCTTACATAAAACTCCAAACCACTTCTTGACCCATTTTTGTGAAAACCTCACATGAGTGATCCTAAGCACTCAACTTTTACTTACAAGGGTAACGACCAACATGTGGAGGGCCCGAAAATGAGTTTCCACAGAATGTAGGAGGCCTTAGGTAAATTATTTAAGACTCGAACACTCATGAACACTGCAATTTACACATTTATCGCACCACTAAAATCAATTTTTAAAATGATCTGTCGCAAGCTAAAATTCAAAGAAAAACAAAGTTGCCACATTTTTTGCCCAACCGTCGATGAACTCGTCCAGAATTACCCCGGATACAAAACGGACCATGTGAACGTGTCTGAAACGTCGAATTTAGCTAGAAAGAACACTCATATTGTTATGATTCTGCGCGCGAGCAAACAACAAAAAAATCGATGCAAATAAATAATTATATAAGAAGTGCGGGTTCAGGCCAACTCGGGTTCGATCCGGACTAAACATGGGCTTATCACCCCAGCTCACATGATTTTAAATTTCAAATTTGAAAATTCAAATAAATCATTTAATCTCACATTAGTTGAAATTAATTAAAGATTATTATTTGTCAAGTAAAACTCCTCCACACATGGAAGTCAATCAATTCCCCGCCCAATGCATCTTAACGGACCTTTTGAAATTCCCGGGATACAAGATCATGCTCGGCTCGTCTCCTCCCTCATTCAACCCCCGACTTCATCTCCCCCTCACCTCTCCTCTGCACCGAAGCAATCGCCTGCTTCGCCTCTTCCGCACACGCTCATCGCCTCCCCTCCGCACCAAAGCTCTCGCCTGCTTCGCCTCTCCCATTCGGCTCCCTTCTCCTCTGCACCGAGACCCTCGCCTGCTTGACTCTCCTGCTTCGCCTCCCTCCTGGTCGAACAACCCTAGCAGCCCGTGTCTCCCTCTCAGCACCGAAATAATTTCCCTCGCCTCCTGCCCTCGACATCAAAACCCTCTTCTGCTCGCCTCCTCTCTCTTGGCTCGCCTCCTCTCTGCACGGAAACCCTCATCTGCTCCTCACTTTCGCACACCAAACAGCCCTAGCCGCTTGCCTCCGCTCTCTTCTTCGTGACCAGACCCCGCTCGGCTCGATGTCTCTCTCGAACGAACGCCTCCCTCTCGCTCTCCTTTCTTTCTCTCGACCAGGATCGCTCGGCCGACCCTCTCCCTCGCCCGCATTGGAGGTAGCAGGGGTAGAAAAGGAAGGAGCACAAAACTTCTTCGAGCTTCTGAAAAGCTTGGAGTACAAAACCTTAGCAATTGCAATAATTGGGTAACGAAGTCTTGTCTTGTTCCTATACTTGCTCATTTTATTTATACAATACAGACCATCT